TTTTTTGTTTCGTTGTAAAGGCTTGAAAATGTGCTTGATACAGCGCTTATTTTTTGATATTTTTCGGTTTTTAAAAAAACGTTGAAAAGTTACGATTTTTCAAACGCGGGCAACGCGGGGCTATACAAAACGCGAAATCATAGTCGAATGAAATTTTCCCGTATTCTTGTCCGCGTACGAATATGACGCATCGTTACGGGATTTTTGCCGGGAAATTTTAGCCAACCAGCTGTTGAGAGTGCAGTTTGACACAGAAACGAAACGCTTCTATCGGCTCTACCGGGCTGAGTAGACTTCAGCATCTCTGTGAGGCGATAGCAACGTTTGACTTCTGTGCGCCATCTTTGCGACAGCTGCATGTACAGTCGTGCTGTCACTCGTTAGACAGGTCGTTCGATCGTGATTAAGTGAAAACTCCGGCCCGTGGTGCTATGGATGTGGTTCTAGATTCCAAACCAGGACAGCTTGAGGCCAGCTACGTGATGTTGAGCCGTATGCGGCTCCCGTCTGTCTTGAGCCGTGCACCACTAGGTTGCGTATTTTTTAAGGCGGGCCAGCTGAGATGATCTACTCAGCAACCACTCCAAGTTCTTCAGACCTTGTGCCCGTGCGGATTCGGTAAAGAAAGTGACTGGTGTCGCTGCATCTTTGTTGCCTAGTTTCGCGGGGAGAAAAAACGGTGTGTAGAGATTCCGAATAACACCCGCCGTGAGCGTCCGTTTTGTGTCAACGATGCTACGTTCAAGGACCACCGCTCAGAGAAATAGCTCTTTCTGGCGAGAAGGGTCCTAGGAGCAGGGAAAGGGACAAGTAGGTTAGCTCGACGGACAAGCTTTAGTCATGGTGCTGTATTGATGTCTGCAAAATGTCCCTATTATGCTTTTTACACAATGCACAGAGCATGATGCCTTCACGTTCTACCTCGTGTGTATTTGTGTGCACACAGCAAGCTAGCAGAGATAAAGACCTAAGGCACATAATTATCAGGAAGCAAGGAGTAGGGGAGCCTGATACCAAAACCCTCTGCTGAGAACGCTGGTTTATGTATACACTTAGCCCTCTTCGTCTTGGTAACAGTTCCACTTCATCTAGGGGGTCAGATTCCTCAGGGAGAGAGTTTGTGCTTCAGACATGCGGTATACACAGAGTGCTTGTGATGTTTTAGGGAATTGATATTGTTGTGTTTCATGGGTTAAGTTAGCATTGATTGACAATTATTGGTAAAGTAATCTTTACGTACACAGGAAATGAAGTATAAATAAAGTAAAAGGGATGCAACAGTATCTAACAACCAGTCAGTGCATGAATGCATATCTATGACATTCCTCCCTGGCATAGAGTAAAAGTACACACGAAAATACATACAAAAGTACTGACATAAATGACTTGACAATGCTTAGCTACTAGTTTCTACAACACTATAATGCAAAAGGAGTTCCATCATCGTTAAATTTTTATAAGGTATTCTCCGTGTCACTTTGCCCCACATTTTCCTCCAACACGTCAGCATCAGCTACACCCTATGATATAAAAAAAAATTTAGAACAAAGGGATTATCTAAAAGCTCACATGCTTCTTGAGACTATTTTCAAGTTGAATAACCCTGTGACGAAGCATCTTTAGCTCGGTATCCGATGATTTGTCAGAAGCTAAATCATCCCTCAGACCAGATGTTCCAAGTGTACTGATTTTCTCTCCCTTGGGGTCCTTATGCAGACCTACCATCTGGAACATGTAATGTATTACCCAGTAATATTCATAATTATAAAGTGCAAACCCTCGGCGCACTACGCATGCGCGGTATCGCTAATTGGTGGGATGGGTCTAGGCTATGCAGTTGCTCGTGGTCTCCCGCAAGTAGCTCGCGGAGAGTCTGACACGGGCTAGCTACACTAGTATACTGCATGCGGCAGTCAATACACGCCCTCTATTGTAACTTCTTGTGCCTCCAAGGTACGCGGAGTCGGCCGATCAGTTCGAGGTAAGCCAGCGCGATTATGCATATTGGCGCTTGTTTTCACGGCATATAGTCGTTTCAGGAAAATCGCCCTTTTACTTTTCAGGCTCGTGTAGTACTGAAGCCGCTGGTATCGCTAATGGGCCGCCTCGTAGCCTGTAGTGCCAGAATAAGCGTCGACACACACACACAGACGTACAGACAGAACGACTACAGTAACCCTCGCTGCGCATGCGCGCCGAGGGTTAATTATTAGTCCCTACCTATAACAAACCAGTCATCATCACCCAAGAATTTAGTCAAAAAAGGATCTTTGACCTCATTCAAATACCAACACACATAATAATATTAAAAAACACCTTGTTATCTCAATGCGGGAGTATTCTATATAATTAACCCTCGGCGTGCATACGCAGCGAGGGTTACGGTAGTTGGCCCGTAAGTGTGTCTGTCTGACCGTCTGTCTGTTACCACGTTTTCTGCCACCGCGCGCACGAAATCAGGTAAATAGCGATATGATCGGGTTCAGTGCTACACTGGGTTGATTTTAAAAAAGGCGATTTTCGTAAAACTACTGTGTTTTAAAGTTATGGCGTGAAAACCAAGTGAACAAGCCAATATGTAAATTAGCACAGGCGTACCTCGACCGCGTCCGTTCGCTCTGTGTGTCTGGAAGGCACAACAAGTCACAACGAAGGGCATGCTATTTACTACTGTAGCTAGCCCGTGCCAGACTCTCCGCGAGCTACTAGCGGGATACCACGAGTAAAGGCATAAAAAGCCCCAGCCCATCAATTAGTGGTACCGCACATGCGTAGTTCGCCGAGGGTTTGCACTTTAGTGCTTTTCATTATGACGGGCAATGCCACTGCATACACAGTAATGTTATACAATTGCTACGCATGTGGAACATGTGTTCACTCCACCAAAATGCTGCATTAGTTCGAGTATTATTTAAGCCATTACATAGCTGTCTACGCCACCTACAGTTAGCACCTGGACCTACATTACCAGACCTACATTGTCACCTGGGTGTTTATCAAATTGTATCTCCACAAACATTACCACAACACGATCACCACCTTATAATGTGTGAGCATTCTGTAAGAAGAGAGATTGAGTCCAGACACTCTCGGTGTCCTGAACGGCTGCGACCGTTCTCTCGGACCGCGTACTATACATGGGCGTAGTCGGCAGGATTTGTCGGCAAGAAGCAATGGCTACTCGTCCCGTCGTCACTCCCGAACTATATTCTGGAGAGGGACCATTCGAAGAATGGCTCGACCATTTCGACAGTGTGGCAAGGATTAACGAGTGGAGCGATGAGGCAGCAACACAGTGGTTGTCCGTCCGATTAGTCGGCCGCGCAAAGACGGCGTACAGACGACTCCCAGAGGAAATGAAAGGCACTGAAGTGCTAACCCTCAGCGCAGTGGGCTGATACACATGCTTTAGTACATGTACATTTAAGCTGCTACATGTCATCATGGGCTGGCTACAAGAATAGGTTAGCAATGGTAGATCCTTGCTCACCCTGTGCACATTCTGATGTCTGAATGGTGTGGGGGAGGAGCAGGATATTAACATTTTCTTACACGGCAGGCTGTGCCTGCCTCAGCAGGTCACCTGCAATGCTTTTCTACGCAGCCTTGTCCCATGCTGCAAAGTACGGATCACGTACACGCTATACCGTACGCATGCGCGGCACTGTTAATTGGTGGGCTGGTCCAATTTTACCGTTTTACTGACTCGTGGTCGCTTACCAGCTCGCTGAGAGTCGGTCACAGGCTGCTAGATAGCACGCGGGAGTCGATACTCGTCTTGCGTTGCAACTTCTGGTGCCTCGAAGGTACGCAGAGCTGGCCGAGGTAAGCCAGTGCTAATTTGCATATTAGCTCCTTCACTTTGTTTCACGCCATAACTTTCGAACGCAGCATTTTTACCAAAATCGCTATTTTTAAAATAAAGCCAGTGTAGCACTGAACCCGTTGGTATCGCTTTTTGGGCGTCTTGTTGCGCGTAGCGGGAGAAAACGTGGTAACAGACAGACGGACAGACGGACGGAAGGACAGACGAAGGACAGCCGGACGGAAGGACGGAAGGACGGAATGACAAACCAAGTACTATAACCCTCGCTGCGCATGCGCGCCGAGGGTAATAAGGGGAAACTTCGGCCGTGCCCTACTCCGCCAGCTCGAACCCGAAAGCAAGTACACAGCAGAGTTCCAAGCGCGCTGCAAACTATCGTCAGAAGACTGGTTGACCTTCGCCGACGACCTGAAACATCTAGTGGATAAAGCGTTACCGGACCTCGACGACAACGCTCGAGATCGATTGGCCGTAGATCGCTTCCTGACCCAAATCTCAGATCCGCAACTGGCTTTCGGCGTCCGACAGAAGGAACCCAAAACCATTGACGACGCGGTCGCCGCAACACTGGAACTACAGGCGCATCAAAACCTCGCCAATGCCGCAGGTGCTCGGACCGGCGCTTTTCCGGTTAACGCTGTTCACCACGGTCGTCCGCCCGTTCGTTCAACAAGACCGCACGGCGGAACTCTTAGAGCAGTTAGTCACACGGATGGAGAAACTCCAGACGGAACTCTCTACACAAAACCAACAACCTGCTCTTCCTCGTCGACAGCGACCACCGTCGTCGCGTGGTCGCTTCCGTGATCGTAACCAGCGGCCGCATATGCGACAAGACCGTGGGCATGTCGTTTGCTACCGCTGCGGACAAGAAGGCTATTTTTCACGAGGGTGTGCAACCCCCGCTCGTCCCCGTCAGAACCAGGAAAACTAGGACCTCTCGGCGCCACTGGCCTGGCATAAGAGGGAATTTCCGACACGGCCGTCAATATTTTCCCGCACAATTCACCCACCGCTTTTATATACTATCCAGGTCACCGTGTTCGATACCCCAGCAACATTCCTGCTAGATACCGGCGCAGCTGTGAGTCTCCTCCGACAGGACATATGGCAACGGGCAAAGGCACCCCAGCACTACTTGCACCCATGGACGAGCGACTCCCTGGTTGGGGTAGATGGAACCCCTCTAACCCTCCATGGCTTCACTGACGTCACTATTCATCTCTCAGGTATCCCTCTTTACCACCAGGGTTATTATTGCGGATGGATTGACCACACAGAAGCTATCCTTGGCTTGGATTTCCTCCAGGCCAACAGATGTGTCTTCGACATGGGCAAGCGTACTTTACAAATCTGTAAGCACCCACCGATCCCCCTGTTGTCACCACAACCCCCTCCACCAACCTCCCCCCTGACTGTATTATGCCTCGTGGACACCGTCAGAATCCCACCATCCAGTGAGTTAGATGTGCTAGCATATGCACACAACCCAGAATGCCCTAACACCACAAACTTGTATTTTGGAGCAAAATCAAACAAAAAAGTTACCTGTGTGTATTGCAAGGGCCCTAGTAACACCATCACCCAAAGGCTTCCCAGTTCGCCTACTAAACCCTAGCTCCGACCCAGTGTACTGTACAAAGGTACCTCTGTCGCCACAATCGAGCCAATTGCGTGGACCCATATCTGCCCTGTAAGCTCTAACAAGCCTACCCAACTTTCTGTGGCAAAACAGGAGATATTGTATACATTGTCCCGGCCTGTGTCATCTGAACAAAGTCATGCATTGCTCTCTGCATTAATGGCATACGCAGACGTTTTTGCTGACGGCCCGGAGGACGTGGGTCGCATCCATACGGGAGACTCAGCGCCGATCCGCCAACACCCACGCCGCATCCCGGCGGCCCATCGCGAGGAAGCGTAATCCCTAGTGAAGGAGATGCTCGAGGGAGATACCATCCAGCCGTCGAGCAGCCCATGGGCATCGCTCATTGTACTGGTCCGGAAGAAGAATGGGACGTTGCGATTCTGTGCGGATTACCGCAAGCTTAACGCAGTTACTCGCAAGGATGCCTATCCTCTCCCAAGGCTGGACGACACTCTGGACACACTGGCACACTTGCGTTGGTTCAGTACTTTGGACCTTATTAGTGGCTATTGGCAGGTGGAAGTTCACCCAGAAGATCGCGAGAAAACGGCATTTTGCACGCCGGAGGGACTCTTCGAGTTCAAGGTCATGCCTTTTGGGCTGTGCAATGCTCCCGCAACATTTCAATGCCTGATGAACTCCATCCTCGCAGGCCTACCATGGAACTCCTGCCTGGTTTACCTTGACGACATCATTGTTACAGGTGCAACGTTTCACGCTCATTTGGAAAACCTCGGCCAGGTCTTTGACCACATCAAGAAAGCGGGCCTCAAGCTCCAACCCTCAAAGTGCGCACTCTGCAAACCCGAGGTCACCTTTTTAGGTCACATTGTGACCCAAGAAGGCATTGCTACTGATCCAAGCAAGATCGACCGAGTGGCCTCGTGGCCGACACCAACATGCACGCGTGATGTGCAGCAGTTTTTGGGATTAGCGAATTACTATTGTCGCTTCATTCAACATTCCACCTCGATTGCCAACCCTCTCCACCGCCTCACAGAGAAAACAGCACCCTTCAAATGGACAACAGAATGCCAGACCGCATTCGATGTTCTTAAACACCGACTGACGACAGCCCCTGTGTTAGTACACCCACGCTATGACCGGCAGTTCATCTTAGACACGGACGCTAGTGCTACGTGAATTGGTGCAGTATTATCTCAGCTCCACGATGACGGTAATGAGCATGTCATTGCCTATGCAAGCTGGACACTCAGCAAACCTGAACGCCATTATTGTGTCACTAGGCGGGAACTCCTCGCCGTTGTCACCTTCATTCATCACTTTCGACCATACCTCCAGGGCCAAAAATTTTCGCTCCGCACTGATCACAGTTCCATCACATGGCTGCGAAGTTTCAAACAACCCGAATGGCAACTGGTGCGCTGGATCATGAAACTCCAGGAATACGACTTCTCAATTTCACACCGACAAGGAAAGAAGCACAATAACGCTGATGCACTTTCCAGGCGTCCGTGCTCCCAGTGTGAACGCACTGACCACCCAGTGCTGGTGCTGCCAACCACCTCGACTTCCCGACCACCCAAGCATTCACCAACCCCTCCGGATGACCCAGACCCAACAGCAACGCAGCAGGTTGCTGCAACCGCTCTCCTACCAGTATCTATCACCAGAGACTCTCAGTTAAACGACAGCTCTATTGGGCTCATTCTGACGGCGGTAAACTCCCAGAGAAAGAGCTCAAGAGCCGGAGTCAGGAAAGCCGCTCACTCCATCCGCAGTGGGACATGCTGCAAGTCAAACATGGCAAGTTATGGAGAAAGTACTCCCTGCATGATGGAACGGTGTCAGTCCTCCAGCTGGTTGTGTCACACTCTCTCCGCAACCACATCCTTCGGGAACTCCATGACAGCCCTGTTGGGGGACACCTGGGCCAGGATAAGGTAATTGGCAAACTACAACAAAGATTCTACTGGCCAGGATCAGTCACGGACGCCAAGAGGTGGTGCAACACATGCCCTGCCTGCGCTGCCCGTAAGACGCACCCACCCCGTCAACAAGCACCTCTGCAGACCATCCCTGCCGGAACCCCCATGCAAACAGTGGCTGTTGATATTCTCGGGCCATTCCCTGGCAGCCCTTCAGGAAATCGTTACATATTGGTAGCAATGGACTACTTCACTCGCTGGGCTGAGGCCTACGCCATCCCAAACCACCGTCACAAACTAGTTTCCAACTCCTTCATTCCGATCAAGGTTACCAATTTGAGTCTGCCTTACTACAGGAGGTCTGCCGAACTCTGGGTATCCACAAAACTCACACAACTCCCTACCACCCGCAGGGCGATGGACTAGTTTAGTATGCTCGCTACGGCTGCCAAGGACCATCCGGCCACATGGGAAACACACCTGCCAAAGCTCTGCCTGGCATACAACACAAGCATACAAGCATCAACTGGGTATAGCATCTTCCTAATGTTCGGCCGCGAGGCCCGACTCCCTGTCGACATCATGTTTGGCCCATCCCCTACAGACGCCATCTCTCCTAACGAATATGCAGCCCAGCTCCAGAATTCCCTACGGCAGGCCTTCCAAAGAGTTCGCACAAATCTAGCAACGGCACACAATCGTCAGAAGCAGTTGTATGACCAACACATCCATGGCACTCCATTTCACACTGGCGACCTCGTATGATTACTAAACACTGTGGTTCCACCAGGACAATCTCGCAAACTTCACTTTCCGCCTACAGTTAGCACCTGGATCTACATTACCAGACCTACATTGTCACCTGGGTGTTTATCTAATTGTATCTCCACAAACATTACCACAACACGATCACCACCTATATAATGTGTGAGCATTCTGTAAGATGAGAGATTGAGTCCAGACATTCTCGGCGTCCTGACATTCTCGGCGTTCTCTCGGACCGCACACTACAACACTATTTGGCAAGTGAAACGGGCCAACCTAGGCATCTGAATGCAGAATTTTCCATCTGCAACAGTTAACGTACCCACGGATCAACAAACGGTAATGTTTACACAGTTCTTCTAAAATAATGAAATGCTCGCTTCACTCAGCAAAAGTGCATTGCATTCCTCTAGTTTAGACCTAAGCAGTAGCTTCACTCTTTAATACAGGTTCTAACACCTTACTTACCCTTGGTATGAAGACGAGTCCGAGGATCATGGTGGTTCCCAGCAGTAACCCCATTCCCACCACAGCTGGGTAGGCATTCACATAGTCCCTCACAGTGTAGGTGGAGACAATGATGACAGTCAACACAATACTTGTGACGTACACAGAAGCAGCAATGTACACAGAGTCATCCAGACCCTTCACCTTCACATCGCGAGTACGGAAAGCCAGGAGCAGAGCCAGGACTTGCAGAATGCCCTTGTATCCAAACAGAATTGCATACAGATACACTTGTCCTTTAGATTCACAAATATACAGAGAGTACTTGTGATGCTCAGCTGTCGCCTAAGAGAGATTGATATGTATTATTAGAGAGTCGGTAGACTCTCTATATAGGGATGACACGGGTGAAATCTCACGTGATCCGCGTACAAAACGACTA